CTTCCTCCTCTTCCTCCTCTTCCTCCCACTAACACTGCATGGCTGATTAATCTCACAGGGTCTCTTGTAAAGAGCTTTAAGCAGCGCAGCTAATTGTCTTCTTTGTGTCTGCCGTTCGCACAAAGCCCCGTGACGAAGAGTGGCTCGTTTGATTGGCAGGTGTTAAACACAGAGAGGCGAAGTGTTCATTAGGCGGCTCTGTTCTCAGCTGTTTTAACCGACAGAGGTCAAAGGTCACCCTCTGTTTTCCCCTCACCGGGTCACAAAGTCTCGAGCTAAAAAAGCCGAGCAATTATCTGCAACAAACAGAGACTGAATGGCTGCTAAGTGCTGAGACCTTTAATGTGGAGGAAAACACTTCCTGCTGAGAGGCTAACGAAGACGCTCAGTATGTAGTGTCTCTACTTTAAAGAGTCCTCTCCTGCTGATGTTCAGGTGTATATCAGTATGTACTGTGTCTACTTTAAAGAGTCCTCTCCTGCTGATGTTCAGGTGTGTATCAGTATGTAGTGTCTCTACTTTAAAGAGTCCTCTCCTGCTGATGTTCAGGTGTATATCAGTATGTAGTGTCTCTACTTTAAAGAGTCCTCTCCTGCTGATGTTCAGGTGTATATCAGTATGTAGAGTCTCTACTTTAAAGAGTCCTCTCCTGCTGATGTTCAGGTGTATATCAGTATGTAGTGTCTCTACTTTAAAGAGTCCTCTCCTGCTGATGTTCAGGTGTATATCAGTATGTAGTGTCTCTACTTTAAAGAGTCCTCTCCTGCTGATGTTCAGGTGTATATCAGTATGTAGAGTCTCTACTTTAAAGAGTCCTCTCCTGCTGATGTTCAGGTGTATATCAGTATGTAGTGTCTCTACTTTAAAGAGTCCTCTCCTGCTGATGTTCAGGTGTATATCAGTATGTAGTGTCTCTACTTTAAAGAGTCCTCTCCTGCTGATGTTCAGGTGTATATCAGTATGTAGTGTCTCTACTTTAAAGAGTCCTCTCCTGCTGATGTTCAGGTGTATATCAGTATGTAGTGTCTCTACTTTAAAGAGTCCTCTCCTGCTGATGTTCAGGTGTATATCAGTATGTAGTGTCTCTACTTTAAAGAGTCCTCTCCTGCTGATGTTCAGGTGTATATCAGTATGTAGTGTCTCTACTTTAAAGAGTCCTCTCCTGCTGATGTTCAGGTGTATATCAGTATGTAGTGTCTCTACTTTAAAGAGTCCTCTCCTGCTGGTGTTCAGGTGTATATCAGTATGTAGTGTCTCTACTTTAAAGAGTCCTCTCCTGCTGATGTTCAGGTGTATATCAGTATGTAGTGTCTCTACTTTAAAGAGTCCTCTCCTGCTGATGTTCAGGTGTATATCAGTATGTAGTGTCTCTACTTTAAGAGTCCTCTCCTGCTGATGTTCAGGTGTATATCAGTATGTAGTGTCTCTACTTTAAAGAGTCCTCTCCTGCTGATGTTCAGGTGTATATCAGTATGTAGTGTCTCTACTTTAAAGAGTCCTCTCCTGCTGATGTTCAGGTGTATATCAGTATGTAGTGTCTCTACTTAAAGAGTCCTCTCTAATAATCTACTTATATCATGGTTTCTCTTCCAGGACACATGGACTCAAAGAGGAAGAAACTGTGGCTAAAGGAGGCGGAGTCCAAAAAGAAAAGGGCTCCTCGACACTTCCCTCGGTTCAATGGATTCGGTACTTTCTATTAATCATATACTGATTTCAACGAAACGTGGCATTAGCTCACCCTTGAAATGCATCATTGAACCCACTGTATCCCCTCCTGTGTGTCAGCTGCCGTGCAGAGGATCACTCGCTGCCCAAAACACTTTGTTGTTCTGTTCGGCTGAGCTCTGTGGATTCAGCTTTTTAATTCATCTCCTGTGATTGGACGTTTCCAATTTTTGTGTGTCGAGTTGAAAAGAGTTCAGGTGGAGAGAGAGTCATCGGAGAGGATGAGTGAAGGTCAAGATATTTAGTGCATCCTTTTAAACATAGTGCTGCAGATAGCTGTAACTGAAGTGGACCGCAATGTCCATGTTCATCCCTCTAAAAAAAGACCACCAATTTCTCCTTCATTTCCAGCCGGTAAAAGCCGACTTTTAAACAGATGTTAAACAACTGGATTCATTTAGGTGTTGAGTTATATGTTGCTGACTATTGGGAAGTCAAATGTTCTATTTAGAGACATCTGCTTTTCTGTGTCGTTTTAAACACAAATTGTTGTTGTTGTTGTTGTTTGGGACACTTAAAGGTGGGGTATGTAATTTTGGAGAAAGCAGCTCGAGTGCGCTAGAATTTGAAAATACACAGCTGGAACAAATCTACCACTTCCTCACAGAGCCCCTCCTCCAACACATACGAACGCGCACATGACCAATGAGGCACGAGATAAGTTTGTGCACAGATGGAAGGCTGACAGGCAGGTAGGCCATCCAGTTACTTTAGCCGGCTCAGATGATTGGACGAGCTTTTTACAGCGCCACGGCTTCCACAGATGATGTTTTTATATGGATTTGTTGTCAAAGCACTTCAGATATTCATTGCTATCGGGAACAAAGTACATCTTATTATCTTATACTAACAGAACTACGCCTATATTGCGTACAGCGCCCATAATCAAGTTGAACTGCCCCAGCCCCAGGGGGGGGGTGCCAGCTAAAATCTTGCCTAGGGCAGCAAATTGGTCAAGGCCGGCCCTGTCGAGCCGGTTTCTCAAACTTACCTACCCCACCTTTAACCACACTATTACTAATATATGTCTTCAATGTTAGCAGGTTTAGTTAGCCGTCAGTGTTTCTGATAATAAAAGGACGCTTTTTAGTAATTCTTGTCTAAATCTGGTTTCTACGTGGTCAGAAATGTATGATTTGACACCAAGACCCTTCAAATAAGGCAAACAAAGACGTTTCCAAGCCATCATTGTTGGCCATCTTGGATTTCTGATGAGCTTTTTCAAAACCTCACAGGAGTTCATGGCCCAATTTCAATCCTTGTGTCCACTTTTGAAAGACTTCCCTGTTATACTCAGTTATCTGCAGCACTAATAGAGACAAGGAGGGAGAGGATGTGAGAGCAAAGCAGAATGAAAGCCCCTTCGTCACAACAATAAAAGCATTGCTGTTCCAGTTTGTTTTTGCACATGTTCTGTTTACCAATCGACGCTCTGGCAGCAGCATTTTCAACTCCAGCTTTTATACCCTCTCCAAATGTGTTATTTTCCGTCTCTGTAGGACTCTTTGTTGATTCAGACACACGTTGACCTTGTAGGTGTTTTTGTAAAAGATTTCAATTTCAGGTTATTTGTCCGTGACCGCTCGTTGTCATGAAAACTGTAAGTGGAAATGTCCGAGAAATGTTTCTATGGACTCCTACCAATAAATGCTTAAAGAAAATCATGTCCATGTATTAGATTTCACTTTTTTAATCTGAAATGTTTCCAATGTTCTCTTTCATTTTGGTCTCCACTAACACCTGAGGACGCACCGAGCGAGTTGCTAACTTTCTCAACTAAAACACCAAAGTTGCTGAACATAAAACGCCTAAACTAAACAAGACATTTGTGATAATTTACAGCTGTGTGTCACTCTTTAGTGTCCCCGGTCTCCCAGCTGTGTGCGTCACTCTTTAGTGTCCCCGGTCTCCCAGCTGTGTGCGTCACTCTTTAGTGTCCCCCGGTCTCCCAGCTGTGTGCGTCACTCTTTAGTGTCCCCGGTCTCCCAGCTTAGTGCGTCACTCTTTAGTGTCCCCCGGTCTCCCAGCTGTGTGCGTCACTCTTTAGTGTCCCCAGGTCTCCCAGCTGTGTGCGTCACTCTTTAGTGTCCCCTGGTCTCCCGGCTATGTGCGTCACTCTTTAGTGTCCCCTGGTCTCCAGCTGTGTGCGTCACTCTCTAGTGTCCCCTGGTCTCCCAGTTGTGTGCGTTACTCTTTAGTGTCACCTGGTTTCTCGGCTATGTGCGTCACTCTTTAGTGTCCCCTGGTCTCCCGGCTGTGTGCGTCACTCTTTAGTGTCCCCTGGTCTCCCGGCTGTGTGCGTCACTCTTTAGTGTCCCCTGGTCTCCGTTGTGTTTCTGCAGCTTTTAGTAGACGCTGCCATGTCTCCTCAAGTTGCTGAATGTTCTCTAAATGCTGCATGTGTTGTTACGTTGATGGAGATGTTTCTTCATGTGGAACCTTTGTGTTTTTATATCTGCATCCTTTCTGAAGCACGTTTCTCCTGATGGAAATGTGTGCACCTGTCTTCCCCCGTAGATTTGTCACAATCGTCATCTTTCCACACAAAGCCATTGTTAATGAACTAAAAGTATTAATTAGAGCAGGTTTAATCTAATATCTCCTTTCCTACGTCACCAACCGAACCTCACAGTAATCCTCAAACCCCGCTAGTTTGTAATCAACTCGTATTCCTTCTTTGTTTTCGTTGCAGATTCACCTGCTGCTCTTCTGTTGAACAGCAGCAGGGACAAAACACTGTTCCTACCTCAGCGGCTGTATAGCAGAATATTTTTGAATGAGCCCGCAGTGTTTTGTATTATTCATGCGGCAGAACGAATGCACATGACCCAGCAGCTCATCTGGCTCTTGTTCCCATGCAGAAAAGTATTCTCTAAGGGTTTAATTAAACAGTGTCGAAGAAGGCAGTGGCCCACCTTCCCTCTATCGCCTTGTTTTAACAACCCTCCTCTTCCTCCTGAAGTCATGACGCAACTGTTTCTGACTGAAGTGTGAAATCCTCCTAATAGGCGCGTTCACACCGCAGTACTTTTCCCACTTTAGTTCCGATATAGTCAGGGGCGGCGGGTGCTGTAGGCTAGGGAAGGCTAAGCCTTCCCAAATATTTGTGTAACTGCATCCTGGTAAAAATACAAATATAATGTCTTTGACATTAGCGCTGCTATGCAGCCACCTGTGCCCTGTACCACGAAGCCAGTTCAACAGACCCTGGATATGCTTGAGTTATCTTAACTAACCCTAACAAACGAGATCTCGCTAAACGGTCCTACGGCGCTAGTTATCAACTCGGTAAATCAAGCCAGGGTTTCTCTCTCCAGCTGAGAACGCGTTCACGTGAAAGGGGCGGGGTTAGCTACATTTGACCAATCACAAACAGGGACAAGTGTGCTGACAGCGCAACATCATACTTCATTAATGAAAAGTAAACTAATATTAGACAAATATGAACTTTAAACATCCATGATGACTTAAACATATAATCCAGGATACAAGCCACATAGTTGCTGCAAGGAGAATACAGAACAACTCGTTAAAAAATAAACTACCGAGTGTTTGAAAGCGTACAACAGTTTTATGATACTGCCCCATCTAAAACACGAGGGGATCTGACTTTATTACATTTGAGTTGAGTGTTTCGTCAACTTAATGTGTTGCTTAAAATAATACGTCTGCATACAGTATATGTGACAATGTAACTAAGTGTTGCACGGCCAGATACGGCTCGAGAAGCTGACTCAGATAAGGAAATATTGTGAGATCGATGATCTGATTGATAATGTGATGTCAGTGTGATATGAATGATAAGTGCGACACGTCGGCGTCTTCTCTGCATACGGCAGTTTAAACTGCATTTCCTTTTTCCTGTAATATGACTTGAGAGATTTAAACTCCGCACACTGAGCTCTGATCGGTCAGCAGGCGGTGCTTTCACTGAGTTGATCTCTTTTCTATAGACGCCGGAGGCGGGTAGCGTAAGATGAAAAAAAAAGTTATTTAGCCTTCCCAAACCTGAGCCTCACGCGCCGCCTGAAATGTTGCGTTCACACCAAAAAGAGCCGGAACTAAAATGAGTTCATGAGAACCTTTCCACCCCCTTTTCCGTCCCTGCTAGAGAGCAGGGACTTTCGTGAGAGAAAAAGGTTCCTATGTCTGATTGGCTGGAAGGATTGCAAACCACGCCCCGTAAAAAAAAAAGCATCATTAGCATTATTAGCATTAGCATTAGCCCAGCGCAGAAACGCAGAGAGACTAATTTATGGCAACACAAAAGAAAACATGGGAGCGGTGGAGATGAGGAGGTGTCGGCGTTCTGGCGATGTACTCGGAAGGCCTGTTAATATGAGGACATGTACCTCCTGAAGAGCGTGTGTGTCCCAAACACCACATGGAGAGAAATGAGGTTAAATACAAACACATGATAATTCAACACTTCTAAAGGATAGGATCTGTTAAATAACCCCAAAAAAGACTACAAATGTCGACATAAACATTGCAAAAATCAGCAATTAACGTGTGAAATCCTCCTATTGACTTTCAATTTGAGGACATGTACCTCCTAGAGAGCGAGGAGCATTACTTAGTTCGGGTGCAAAAGGGTCATTTTTAGGTTAAATACAAACAGATAGACATGAAGGGTAGGATCTGTTAAAGTGCGTATTAACCCGAAAAATACTAATTACAATTCTACATAATGAGCAATGTGTAAAAGCAGCAATTATCCAGTTTCCCAGAACATCAGAAATGTGTTTTGTGCACAGAAAAAATCATATAAAATGCATTAAATTAACAATATATGCTGTTTTTGAGGCGGCGGTTTGATTATAGCGCACAGTTTGTCCCATTTGCATCATGCATGTTTTATTCATTGTGTTCAAAGAGCAGAGAAGTGGTTTATTGTTCAACCTTTTTATTGTTATTCTAATAAAAACAGCAGCCGTTGAAACAGGAGGTCGTGACCGCGACAAATGCAAAGTGCGCTGGAAATTAATAAATGTAATTGCATTTATAGCCGCTTGTGATTGGATTAAATCAAACAAGCCCTGGAACTGGGTTTTCTCTTTCATTGGAAGCACCTAATTGGTTTGGTGCAGAAATTACCCATAAATCCCTTGTATATCAAACACTGCGGAGAGAACTCAAAGATTTAAGATGGTCAGAGAATAAAATAAAGAAGCAGCTCGGGTCAAAGATAGGAACAAGGTTTTATTCAAACCGTTTTACAGAATGATTTGGATTGAAACGAGGCAGAAACGAGACGCACAAAGCGAGACAAAAAGCCACCTGGGTGTGATTCACTTCGGAACAGCTGTCAGACGGATTTAGGTGCAGCGAAATTGGACTGAGATTTTTTCCAAGAGTGCACTCAGCAGATTAGGAGAGAAGAAACCTCCGAGCAAGTGTCCTTTTAGTGAAGGAAGGAAGGAGTGATTTAAACCTCCGAACAATAGAGAAGCATGATTCAGTGTCTCTAGATGTAAAACTGGTCGTTTTGATCCATTTTAAAGGTTCACTGTTAAATAAAACATCTTGTAGCTTTTTACGACATTAGTTAACATCCCAAAGATATGTTATAATATAGTGATATAAGCCTTTAATATAATAAAAACAATAAAAGTATAGCATGTTATATTAACATCCATTACATATGTTTTTATAGTTATTATGCAATGAATAATAATTAAATTAATAGAAATAGCACACCTTAAAAAAGTCATTAAGACTAGGCCATTCATATTTCATCAAATATGT